GAATGGAGCCCGTTTCATCTTGGTTATACTACAACTCAGTTACTCAAATGCAAAGAAGACGGAAATTTTCCCCCAGTTGTGTCTGTCTATAACACTAGCCCTCCAAATCAAAATTTCCGCCTTCCACAATCTAGCACTGAACGTCCTTCCCTGCCTCCTTGGGTTAAATGAAATCTGGCTCTCTGAAAAATCCACCTTCTGCAGGTTTCTCACACAGATGTTGCCCATTCCCTGAAATTCCACATATCCCAGTTGGTGACGGCATCCTCTTTTCCTCAAATCCATTTCCAAAGCATTACTCCACTTTCATGTAAAAGCTCTCGTCCCTTTGAAGATAAAGGGTAATGTCACCCTATACCCCTCCTCCCAGCCTCCACCATTTACTGATATTTTCAAATCGGGTTCGTCTTCCTCACTGCAATCCTGGCTTTTCATTGTAGGAGAATTCATTGCCACCCATATACCCACTGCTTTGACCACTGCAACTGAAATGACCTTTGCACCAACAGAGAAAGGTCATACCCCGCACTTGCATCCTCCCCAGTTGCTCCATTCTTGAAATCTCAAATTCAGACACCCCTCATGGACTTTCGGTCCCTTGCCTCTACATTTTCCGTTATCAACCCCATCTCTAGGTCAATCCCTGGGCAGTCTAGAATCCATGGACCATTACTCCAATCACTTTTGCCAGAGTCTATTAACAGAATGCTAAGTGTTAATATAGGAAATCACTCAATTGCTCCACCTGTAGCCACTACAAATTTCTGTTACCTTACCATCTGCAAGATAATCATAGTTTCTCTCTCACAAAAATGTTATGCTATCTAAAACTAAAATCTAGGAGCAGTGGCATGCACCTGTAACTAAGCATTTTGGGAGTCTGAGATGGGAGGATGGCTTCAGCCCCGGAGTTCCAGACCAGCCTGGGCAGCATAGTGGAACCCAATCCCTACAAAACACACACACACACACACACACGCCGGGTATGGTAGCACATACCTGTAGTCCCAACTACTCAGGAGGCTGAAGTGAGAGGATCACTTGGTCCTGGGAGATCAAGGCTGCAGTGAGCCATGACTGCACCACTGCACACCAGCCTGGGCAACAGTGCAAGACCTTATCAATCTGTCAATCAATTTTTGCTTTTTTGAGACGGAGTCTCACTCTGCCACCCAGGCTGTAAGTGCATTGGCTTGATCCCTGCTCACCGCAACCTCTGTCTCCTGGGTTCAAACTATTCTTCTGTCTCAGCCTCCCAAGTAGCTGGGATTATAGGCGCCTGCCACCACACCCAGCTAATTTCTGTATTTTTATTTTTTATTTTATTTTATTTTATTTATTTATTTTTTTTTTTGAGACGGAGTTTCACTCTTGTTACCCAGGCTGGAGTGCAATGGCGCGATCTCGGCTCACTGCAACCTCCGCCTCCTGGGTCCAGGCAATTCTCCTGCCTCAGCCTCCTGAGTAGCTGGGATTACAGGCACGCACCACCATGCCCAGCTGATTTTTGTATTTTTAGTAGAGACGGGGTTTCACCATGTTGACCAGGATGGTCTCGATCTCCTGACCTCGTGATCCACCCGCCTCGGCCTCCCAAAGTGCTGGGATTACAGGCGTGAGCCACCGCACCCGGCCAATTTGTGTATTTTTAGTAGAGGGGTTTCACCATGTTGGCCAGGCTGGTCTCAAACTCCTGACCTCAGGTGATCCGCCTGCCTTGGCTTCTTAAAGTGCTGGGATTACAGGCGTGAGCCACTAGGCCCAGCCTAATAACTAAACTTAAAAACAAAAAAAATGAATAAATAAAGCTAAAATCTTCAGTTGTGTGCTTGATCCCATTTATTCCTTCTCCTGGAACTTCATGTTGTCCTCCCTCCTTTATGGCTTCTTCCTACCATATTTGAACATGATCAAATACTCCACCTGCCATACATATGCAGAAAATCCTTGCCAGAATTTCATGTCCTTTCTTATGGCTCCAGCTTTTGTTTATTCTTCCCTATTCACAATCAAATTTCAGAATGAGATCTTCATGTTTGTTCTCCCCACTTCATCTCCCGTTTCCTACTGAACCCACTGCTAAACAGCTTCTAGGCTCAACACTCATCACTATGGTTGCACCCTATAAAGTTTCTTTTCCCAAATCCAATGGCCATTTCCAGCTCCTCCTGTTTCCTCTGAAAGCCACACACTCCTGGGCTATGTTCCTCATCTGTTGTTGATGGAGTCCTCTTTCTTCTGCTATGAATTAAATACATTGGTAGCCCTCTGGCTTCCCTCCTCAGTCCTCTGCTCTTAGCATACTTGGATAATCTCATCTACTAACTACAATCATCATTTTTTGGTCTATCATTCCCAAACTTATATCTCTAGAACAAATATCTCTCCTGAGCTTCAGACTTACAAATCCAATTGTCTACCGTTTATTCCCTTTTACATATTTCATAGGCTACTTAATATTAAAATAATATCTAATCCTGAACTAATCCTATTCCCGTCCTCTCTTCATCTAACTTTTCTTGCTGTTCCTCCGAGTACCCTATCTCAGTGACAAAATCTATGTTTTTAGCTGGACTTGGTGGCATGCACAGTCTCAGCTACTAGAGTGGCTGAGGTGGGAGGATCACTTGAGCCTAGGAGGTTGAGGTTGCTGTGAGCCTGGATTGAGCCACTGCACTCTACCTGGGGCAACAGAGACCTAATCTTAAAAAAAATCTAGGTTTTTTTTTTGTTTTTTTTTTGTTTTTGAGACGGAGTTTTTGCTGTTGTTGCCCAGGCTGGAGTGCAATGGCGCGATCTCGGCTCACCGCAACCTCCGCCTCCTGGGTTCAAGCAATTCTCCTGCCTCAGCCTCCTGAGTAGCTGGGATTACAGGCACGCACCACCATGCCCAGCTAATGTTTTTTTTGTAGTTTTAGTAGAGACGGGGTTTCACCATGTTGACCAGGATGGTCTCGATCTCTTGACCTCGTGATCCACCCGCCTCGGCCTCCCAAAGTGCTGGGAAAAATCTAGGTTTTATTCTGTTTCCCTCTCATCCTCTAAGCCACTGAGTCCTAACAATTCTATCTCCTAAAAATGTCTGAAACCTATTCATGTTTCTCAGTGTCCACTGTCACTGTTTAGTATAGTGGTTAAGAGTGCTCTTTCAGAAGCTAGACAGTTTTCTGGGTTCAAATCCTCACTTACCTCACATTTTCCAGCTGCATGATTCTGGACAAGTAACAACCTCTCAAGTGCCTCTGTTCTCATCCCTCAAAATATGTGACTTAGCATTAGTTCAGATCACCAGCATCTCTACCATAGATTACTCCTATGGCATCTTAAGAGGTCTCCAGGCCTCCAGTATGGCTTTTCTCCAACTGAGTCTCCTAAGTGTGGCCAGCAATCTTTCTAAAATGCAAATCGAATCATGTTATTCCTTACTTTAAGCCCTTAAATGATTACCCACTGTCTTCAAGAAAAGCTTTAAGCTCCTTAACAATGCACATACGGCCTTTAAAAATCTGTCCCTGTTAAATACTAAACCGGTCTCTCTCTTATTGCTCTTCTCTATCACGTGGAAACCTCAGGACTTACCATGCTATTCTTTGCATATGCTGTTCTCTCTGCCTGCAAGCCCTCTCTCTACTAAACTCTTCCCACCTGTACATACAGTTGGCTAGATCAATGGATACTGCTTTATTTCTCTGTTGGGTATTTCTTTTTTTTTTTTTTTTTTGAGGAGTCTCGCTCTGTTGCCCAGGCTGGAGTGCAGTAGCACAATCATGGCTTGCTGCAGCCTCCGCCTCCCAGGTTCAAACGATTCTCCTGCCTCAGCTTCTCAAGTAGCTGGGATTACAGGCACATGCCACCATGCCCAGCTCATTTTTGCATCTTTAGCATAGATGGGGTTTCACATTGTTGGCCACGCTGGTCTCAAACTCCTGACCTCAGGTGATCCACCCACCTTGGCCTCCCAAAATGCCAGGATTACAGGTATGAGCCACATGCCCGGCCAGGTGTCACTTGGCCTTCCTGCCTCCTAAATCACACCAAGTAGGTCCTTAGCATCCTCTACCTACCACTATCTTAGCTTTTATTTGTTAGTCTGTAATAATTGACTCTAAGTTCCTTGAGGATAGTGATTATGCCTTATTCACAACTATACTCCCCAGTGGTTAGCATAGTGATGCACACATAGTAGAAATTCAATAAATATCTGTGGAATAATCAGTATGTACTGTTTGCACAACCTTTTAATTAACTGTATCTAGACTAAAATGATACGCCTAACTAACCATGTCACCAGTTTACACAGCCCTTTAATGTAGAAGGGAATTTATTTTTATCACATAACCTATAGAAGAAATGATCTGAATACAAATACATTTTGTAAAATGCAAGTAATCTTATGTAAGATCAGCTTGACCGCCAAGTTTTGTTTTGTTTATTTGTTTTGAGACAGAGTCTCACTCCGTCACCCAGGCTGGAGTGCAATGGCACGATCTCGGCTCACTGAAACCTCCACCTCCTAGGTTCAAGCAATTCTCCTGCCTCAGCCTCCCGAGTAGCTGGGATTATAGGCATGTGCCAACCTCTAGTGATCCGCCCACTGCAGCCTCCCAAAGTGCTGGGATTACAGCCACCCCCCGCCTGACTGCCAAGTTTTTTTTTTGAGACGGAGTTTCACTCATGTTACCCAGGCTGGAGTGCAATGGCGCCATCTCGGCTCACCGCAACCTCCGCCTCCTGGGTTCAGGCAATTCTCCTGCCTCAGCCTCCTGAGTAGCTGGGATTACAGGCACGCGCCACCATGCCCAGCTAATTTTTTGTATTTTTAGTAGAGACGGGGTTTCACCATATTGACCAGGATGGTCTCGATCTCTTGACCTCGTGATCCACCCGCCTCGGCCTCCCAAAGTGCTGGGATTACAGGCATGAGCCACCGCGCCCGGCCTGACTGCCAAGTTTTTAAAGAAATTTTTAAGATTACATTGAGAAAATTCTTAACACATAAGTGAAAAGAGACAATAAAAGGAGGTTTTTTTTATTCAAAGGTATAACTGGATAAGTAGATTTGTTTACAACCATTCTTGTGAAATACTTTTTAAAAAAATACGACCGACTTCTTTGCAAATAGCAGACACATACCTCAACTATGATGACCTAATTTTTGGTGGATAATGTACATGATTAGGCAGAAATAGGCAAGCTCACACTGGTAGATTAACTATCAAATACTCAGTCAAAACTCCGTTTGTGGCCCCCACTTCTTGATCGATTTCTATTCCCACTTCGTCTTCTACCATCTTGTCGACTTCCTGATCGACTCCCTTGTCGACTCTGTCTACCTGACCGGCCGCCAGATCGACCACCTGACCGGCCTGACCGGCCCGACCGGCCACTTGACCAGCCACTCCTCTGTCTGGAATTAGAAGATGTGTTTCCATCATAATATTCTTCAATTTCAGGTAATTTGGCTGGCACTGAAAGTATCCAGTCGGAATCATGCCACTCTGCCTGTTAGGGGAATTTACAGGATTAATATAAATGCAAAATAGAAACCATAAGCAAACATGTAAGTACAGAAGACACCTTTTTCATATCTATTAGCTAAAGGTCATCTATCTGTTAAAGTGGAACAAAAATGAAAACAAAAAATAAGCGAAAACGTTCAATTTTCGAGATCATAAATTCATATTCAGATTATACATTCTAAAACAGCACTATTTGGTATCTCAGCACAAAGCAGATACACTATTAATAAGTAGCGTGCAAAAAAAAATAAGTAAAAAATAAAAACAAAATAAGTAGAGTGCATTGTTTTCAGCAGGTACACTGACAAGCAAAAAGTAAAAGAGCCCATGATGGAGATTAAATATAAGTCAACACCAGCCAAGGACTAAAAAATGCAGCCACTGGAAACACTTTGGTATTGAGTAAACAAGTGAAGATATACAAATCAGTAACCCATAAGAGCATCACAATTTTATATCTTGCTACACTAACTATTCCTTTTTTTTTTTTTTTTTTTTGAGACGGAGTTTCACTCTTGTAACCCAGGCTGGAGTGCAATGGCGCGATCTCGGCTCACCGCAACCTCCGCCTCCCGGGTTCAGGCAATTCTCCTGCCTCAGCCTCCTGAGTAGCTGGGATTACAGGCACGCGCCACCATGCCCAGCTAATTTTTTGTAGTTTTAGTAGAGACGGGGTTTCACCATGTTGACCAGGATGGTCTCGATCTCTTGACCTTGTGATCCACCCGCCTCGGCCTCCCAAAGTGCTGGGATTACAGGCTTGAGCCACCGCGCCCGGCCAACACTAACTATTCCTTATTGTGATCATGAGTTGCCAAGGAAAGTTGTTCCTGGCCAGACGCAGTGGCTCATGCCTATAATCTCAGCACTTTCGGAGGCCAAGGTGGGCGGATCACTTGAGGTCAGGAGTTCAAGACCTGCCTGGCCAACGTGGTGAAACCCCAACTCTATTAGAAATACAAAAATTAGCTGGACGTGGTGGTGGGTGCCTGTAATCCCAGCTACTTGGTAGGCTGAGGCAGGAGAATTGCTTGAGCCTGGGAGGCAGAGGTTGCAGTGAACCGAGATCATGCCACTGCACTCCAGCCTGGGTGACAGAATGAGACTCTGTCTCAAGAAAAAAAAGTTGTTATTAAGATACCCTGTTGCTCAGGTTATCTTTCTTTCCAATACCAGTACTTTTTGGGAAAAGACAAATGAACATACCACTGTGGGTTTGGCAATATATAACCAAAGTCAAAAAAATGCATAAACCTTTTGGCCAAGCAATCTCATTTAAAAACTCATCTTAAAGAGATAAATACAAGCCGGGCGCGGTGGCTCACGCCTGTAATCCCAGCACTTTGGGAGGCCGAGGCGGGTGGATCACGAGGTCAAGAGATCGAGACCATCCTGGTCAACATGGTGAAACCCCGTCTCTACTAAAAATACAAAAAATTAGCTGGGCATGGTGGCGCGTGCCTGTAGTCCCCGCTGAGGCAGGAGAATTGCCTGAACCCAGGAGGCGGAGGTTGCGGTGAGCCAAGATCGTGCCATTGCACTCCAGCCTGGGTAACAAGAGCGAAACTCTGTCTAAAAAAAAAAAAAAAAAAAAAGAGATAAATACAAGAACGCATAAAAAATTTGCTATGGCAATGCATAAAGAATTTGCTATGCCAATGCTTAGGGCAGAACTAACAATAGAAATAATCTAATTTCAGAAAACAGGAGATTGGTTAAGAAAACCAACTACCCAAATGGCCAAATGCCAGGGAGTCATTAAAAATAAGTAACTGGGGTGACAGATCCAAGATGGCCTAGGAGCAGCTCAGGAATGCAGCTCGCAGCGAAAGCGCGGAGGATGAGTGGACACCGCATTTCCAGATGGATTTTCATTGCCCACAGACCAGGAGATTCCGAGGCGGAGGAGCCCCACAGGTCGCCAGCGCGGCTGTTTTGGCCGGCCCTGCGGTTCCCCGCACAAAATACGCGGGTCCGGACACCGTTTTACCTGGCGATTGGAGCTCCTGGGAGACAGAGTCACCCATTCAACTGATAAAAAAGGGGGACTGAAACAGGGAGCCAGGCCAGGAGATTCCCGAGCAAAAAAGCGCCAGAATCTCAGCGCGGTTACGGGGCTGTGGGTTGCAGAAAGGGAAATCACACAGATCCCTGCGCCAGGCGACTGGAACACCTGGGGAGACAGAGTCGCCCATTCAACTAAAAAAAAAAAAAGAAAAAGAGGGCTCTGAGGCAGGGAGCCAGGTGAAAAATAAGTTAACTGGGCCAGGTGTGGTGGTTCACACCTGTAATCCCAGCACTTTGGGTGGCCGAGGCTGGGGGATCACCTGAGCCTGACCAACGTGGTGAAACCCCATCCCTACTAAAAAATACAAAATTAGCCAGGCGTGGTGGCACATCCCTGTAATCCCACTACTTGGGAGGCTGAGGCAAGAGAATCACTTCAACCCAGGTGGTGGAAGTTGAGGTGAGCTGAGATTGCCTCACTGCACTGCATCCAGCTTGGGGAACAAGAGCAAGGCTCCGTCTCAAAAAATAAATAAATAAAATAAGTAACTGGGGCTGGATGCAATGGCTCACGCCTATGAACCCAGTACTTTGGGAGGCTGAGGTGGGAAGATCACTTGAGGCCAAGAGTTTGAGATCAGCCTGGGCAACATAGCAAGACCTCATCTCTATTTTAAAATATTAAAAAGAAAAGAAAAAAGGAACTGTGTTATTGACCCCAAAAAATGTGTCTTTAATATATTCTGAATTTTTAAAAAGACTTCAAAAGCAGAATACTCTTTCTTGTTTCAAAGCATGTATGTAAGTATGTAGAGATATAATAGACAAATTCTTCATTATGGGAATTCAGTAGACAACCTCTTTTGTCAACAGATAAAACACAAGAATATTTTTTTAAAAGAAAGAGAGGGAGGAGGAAGAATCTACAGATTAAAAGAAAGGTAAACATCAAATTCCAATGTATGAGCTTTATGGACCTTATATTTTAAAAATTTAGGGAACAAATGGAAAAGTTTAAACAAAATTAGATGATATTAAGGAATTAACAATTTTGGGGGAGTTTAATTATGGTATTATGATAATGTCTTTTTTAAAGTCATTAATATTTAGAAATATGAACATATTTATGGTTGAAATGATAAAATACCTAGAATTTATTTCAAAAGAGCACAGGAAAGTAGGTAAGCAGATGGACACAGAAATGAAACAAAACTGGCTATGAACTGATAATTGTTGAAACTAAGTGTTGGGTACATGGGGATTCATTATATAAGTCCATCATCTAAAAAATATTTGAGGCCAGGCGCAGTGGCTCACGCCTGTAATCCCAGCACTTTGGGAGGCCAAGGTGGGCGGATTACGAGGTCAAGAGATCGAGACCGTCCTGGCCAACATGGTGAATCCCTGTCTCTACTAAAAATACAAAAAATAGCCGGGCATGGTGGCACGTGCCTGTGGTCCCAGCTACTCGGGAGGCTGAGGCGGAAGAATCGCTTTAACCCAGGAGGCGGAGGTTGCAGTGTGCCGAGATTGCGCCACTGCATTCCAGCCTGGCAATAGAGCAAGACTCCGTCTCAAAAAAAAAAAAAATTGAAATGATTTATAGTAAAAAACTTTTTGGCTGGGCACGGTGGCTCATGCCTGTAATCCCAGAACTTTGGGAAGCCAAGGCAGGAAGATCACAAGGTCAGGAGATCAAGACCATCCTGGCTAACACAGTGAAACCCTGTCTCTACTAAAAAAATACAAAAAATTAGCCAGGCATGGTGACACACACCTATACTTCCAGCTATTCAGGAGGCTGAGGCAGGAGAATTGCTTGAACCCGGGAGGTGGAGGTTATAGTGAGCCAAGATCGCACCACTGCACTCCAGCCTGGGCAACAGAGCAAGACTCCGTCTCAAAAAAAAAATTTTTGGCCAAGTATGGTGGCTCACACTGATATTCTCAACACTTTGGGATGTCAAAGTGGGAGGATCACTTGAGGCCAGGAGTTCAAGACCAACCTGTGCTTCAGACTCTCTCTACAAAATTTTTTTAAAAAATCAGCCAGGCATAGTGGCACATGCCTTGTAATCCTAGCTACTTGGGAGGCTGAGGTGGGAGGATCACTTGAGCCCAGGAATTCAAGGTTGCAATGAGCTATGATTGTGCCACTGCACTCCAGCCTGAGAGAGTGTCCATCTCTTTAAAAATAAATTTAATTCTGGCTGGGTGCTGTGGCTCACACCTATAATCCCAGCTCTTAGGGAGGCAAAGGCGAGAGGATAGCTTGAGCCCAGGAGTTTGAGATCTGCCTGGGCAATACAGCAAGACCTTGTTCTCTAAATAAATAAATACAAAGAAAAAAAAATAAAAATAAATTTAATTTTAAAGGCCAGACGCAGTGGCTCATGCCTGTAATCCCAGCACTTTGGGAGGCCGAGGTGGACAGATCACAAGGTCAGGAGATTGATACCATCCTGGCCAACATGGTGAAACCCCGTCTCTACTAAAAATACATAAATTAACCAGGAGTGGTAGCGTGCGCCTATAGTCACAGCTACTCAGGAGGCTGAGGCAGGGGAATAGCTTGAACCTGGGAGGCGAAGGTTGCAGTGAGCCGAGATTGTGCCACTGCACTCTAGCCTGGCAACAGAGCGAGATGCCGTCTCAATCAATCGATTTTAATTTTGAGACAGACTGGATATTTTATATTAAGGAATTCTTCATTCACTAAGGCATGATAATGACACTGTGACTATGTTTCCCAAAATATCCCAACCTAAATTTAGAGAATGTACTCAACAATTTAACAGATAAAATTTTAAAAATACCTGTAACCTTTCTGACTCAGTTGTAGGAACATCAAAGCAAACACCCTAAAAGCAAAATAAAAACATTTTAAATTAGATACATATGTGATTTTTTTTTGTTTTACTAATAATGCATGACACAGTGGCTACTTAATGTATTTTCTAAATTTAAAAAGTAAACACTGTATCTAATAAGAATTTACAACTACTACTAAGAATCTAGAGTATTCTCTAGAAGAGTTTGTGTAGACAGTATATGTTGTTCCACATCCCTTGTAAAATGATCCTTCTAATAATTTTATTTTAAAATTTAATGACAAAGTTTCATTTACAAAGAGCTGCAGCGGGCCAGGCCTCCCAGCACTTTGGGAGGCCAATGCAGACAGATTGTTTGAGTCCAGGAATTTGACCAAGACCAGCCTGGGCAACATGGAGAAACCCTGTCTCTATTAAAAAAAAAAAAAAAGCAAAATTCAGCCAAGTGTGGAGGTGTATGACTGTAGTCCCAGCAACTTGGGAGGTTGAGGTGGGAGGATCACTTGACCCTGGATGGGAAAGGTGGCAGTGAGCTGAGGTCGCACCAGCCTGGGTGACAGAGGAAGACCCTATTTCAAAAAAAAACTGCAATGTTTATTAGATAATAAAGAATGATATAACCCAAGATGTTTCCTCTATGGTCTTGGTTGTCAATAAGCTGAAAATTAATTTAATACTCAAGTACAGCAACTAGTTTGGCCTTTGTATCTTGCTACTTTTTCCCTCCCCTCTACGTTTTTTTTCCTGAAAGTGTGTATTTGTCTCATACTTGCCCCACATCTTTTTTTTAAAGTTAATACTAAACTTTCAGAGAGACGATTATTTGCAATATACAATCTAGTTAATAAATTCCAAGCTAGAATGAACCTATGCAGTAAAGTTAATAACATAACGTTGTTTTTCAAAACCATTAGATGAAATCAGTCACAAGATTACAGTTTTAATTTTGCTATATAAATGTATTAAAATATTTATTTAACTCATATCATTAACTCATTAACAAACAAGAGCAGGCCACTTAAAAACCAAACTGCATGTTCTCAAAATTATAGAGCTGTTTACTGCAATAATAAGTTACTTAGTCTTAGAGAATGAACACACACACTGGGTGCAGTAGCTCAAGCCTGTAATCCCAGCACTTTGGGAGACTGAGGCAGGTGAATCCCTTGAGCTCAGGAGTTCAAGACCAGCCTGGGTAACATGGCAAAATCCTGTCTTTACCAAAAATAATAATAATACAGGCTAGGTGCAGTGGCTCATGCCTGTAATTCGAGCACTTTGGGAGGCCGAGGTGGGAGGACCACCTGAGGCCAGGAGTTCAAGGCCAGCCTGGCCAACATGGTGAAATCCCATTCTCCTACTGAAAAAAAAAAAAGGTGGCGGGCACCTGTAATCTCAGCTACTGGGGAGGCTGAGGCAGGAGAATTGTTTGAACCTGGGAGGCAAGAGGTTGCAGTGAACCGAGATCGTGCCATTGCACTCCAGCCTGGGTGACAAGAGCGAAACTCCGTCTCAAAATAATAATAATAGGCCAGATGCGGTGGCTCGTGCCTGTAATCCCAGTACTTTGGGAGGCCCAGGCGGGTCGATCACGAGGTCAGGAGTTTGAGACCAGCCTGGCCAACATAGTGAAACCCCATCTCTACTAAAAATACAAAAAATTAGCCAGGCACGGTAGTACGTGCCTGTAATCCCAGCTACTCAGGAGGCTAAAGCAGGAGAATCACTTGAACCTGGGAGGCGGAAGTTGTAGTGAGCCAAGATTGCGCTATTGCACTCCAGCCTGGGCGACAGTGCGAGACTCCGTTTCAAAAATAATAATAATAATAATAATAATAATACAAAAAGGGCAGGTGCAGTGGCTCACTTCTATAATCTCAGCACATTGGGAGTCCAAGGCAGGAGGATCACTTGAGCCTGGGCAAACAGACCCCATCACATAAAGTAGTAAATAAATAAAATGTAAAAAATAAAAAGAGAATAAACACATGTACACAACCACATATGCTATGTGGCAGAAAATTAGATAACTTGGGTATTAGATAGTCAAACTGAACAGAATGACTTACAGCTCTGGAGGAATGGGTTACGTAAATAATAAATAATGCCCCAAATTAATAACTGGAAACAAACTAACACAGATAAAGCAGTATTATTCATGCCATTAGGCTTCAAAAAGAGAAGAACAAAATTTGCTAGCGTTTATAAACATTTGGGGTAGTTGATTTAAAAGCTATTTAATTGTCTAGAAAAGCCTACCATATTTCCTTTCAGGAGGCACATTCTGGTAATCTGAGACACTGCATTACTACTCAGCTTTCTGTTAAGTTCTTTCCAAGCACAGCTGACATCCTGTATTTCCTCTAGGCTTTCCAGAGTCATGGTCACAAATCCCTTAAGGAATAAAAATCACATTATATTTGGAAATACATCAGCAGCAGCAGTACAATGAAATTCTAACTCTACAGACCTTCAAGACTTAATTGTAGATTTCTTATGAGCCAAAAGTATAACACTGCAGCAGCTAAAAAACTTTTTTGAAACTACATTAGAAGAATAGTGTTTATAGATAATTGAAAGTACTATTCTATGTATTGCTGTAAAACTATATTTAATTCTAACCATTATGCTTTAAGAGAGAATTAGGAATTAAGCAAACCAGAGCCAAGAAAGACAACAAGGTAGTGAAGAATTAAGGAAATGTTGAAGGAGTCAAAGTCAGCTTGGAATGAAAGCCTTGGCTGGGCTCAGTGGTTCACATCTATAATCCTAGCACTTTGGGAAACCAAGGTGGGTAGGTCACTTGAGCTCAGGAGTTCAAGACCAGCCTGGGCAATATGGCGAAACACCATCTCTACCAAAAAAACAAACAAACAAACAAACAAAAAAAACCCAAAAACTAGCCAGGCATCACCACGTGCCTATAGTCCCAGCTACTCGAGAGGCTATGGTAAGAGAATTGCTTGAGCCCAGGAGGCAGAGGTTGCAGTGAGCTGAGATCATGCCACTGCATTCCAGCCTGGGTAACAGAACCAGACCTTGTCTCAAAAAAAATAAAAGGAAAAGAAAAGAAATACAACACAAATTTCTTTAACCCTTTTTTTTTTTTTTTTTTTTTTTTTGAGACAGAGTCTTGCTCTGTGACCCAGATTGGAACGCAGTGGCACAATCTTAGCTCGCTGCACCCTCAACTTCCTGGACTTAAGGAATTCTCTCACCTCAGCCCCATGAGCATCTGGAACTACAGGTGTGTGCCACCGCGCCAGGCTAATTTTTGCATTTTTAGTAGAGACAGGATTGCCCAGGTTGGTCTTGAACTTCTGGACTCAAGTGATCTGCCTGCCTCAGCCTCCCAAAGTGCTAGAATTACAGGCATGAGCCACCATGCCTGACTAATTGCTTTAAACTTTTGAAGGACTGTTACATAAGCAAAAATTTATTTGTTCTGTAACACTTCACTAATAGCAAAAGAATCAACATTAAGAAGATATGGGGATACATTCATCAAACAAGTATTTATTAAGTACTCTCTACATATGTGCCACAGACTATACGAGGTGCTAGAGATTCAGCAATAAGTAGTCTTTTCTTTCATGGAAAGTAGATTCTAGTGCATGTGCATGCACATATGCCTGTATGTGGGGTGGGTGGGGGGTACGTAGTAAACAAATAAGCAAATATATGGAATGTCATATAGTAATAAGCATCACAAACGGGAATAAAGCAGGGCTCAGGGAATAAAGAGTACAGGGAGGAGTATGCTATTTTGGAGTGATCAGGAAAGACCTCTCTGGCATGATATTTGAGCAGAGACCAGAATGAAATAAAGGAGGACACAACGTGGTTATTAGAGGAGAAGAACATTCAAGGCAATGAAAGTAGGTGCTAAGGCCCTGTGCAATAGTTAAGTTTATGTCTGAGGAAAACCAAATAGGTTATTAGGTTGGCTGAAATAAGCAAAGGGAGCGGGATAGGGATAAGGGATGATGTCAAGGAAGCAGCAAGAGGACGAGCCTATAGGATATTCATGATAAAGACTTTGGATTTTGGTTCAACCCATGAAAGAAATTTCAAGCCACTAAAACCCTGTTTCTAATATGTTTAATCAGAGATTAAATGACCCATTTGCCGAAGAGGGATTCTTTATTGGATAAGGGTTGAGACTAAATGACTTCTTAGGTACTTCTTAGCTCCAAATCTCAATATTTTCTAAAGAAATATGTTTTAAATACTGTCTTAAGGAGCATTTGGTGGGTTATTAGGGATATTTGCTCAGTGCTATTAGTAACCCCACAAGTTACTAATTACAGAGAGTAAAATATACCTTTATAATATGGCAGTTTCCATCTTAAACAAATGCTCAAACTAAGCATTACTAGTACTGGAGCAACCTAACATTTTATGCCTCTTGACATGATGCAGTATGAGGTACATATTAGCCATAAAAGTACTCTTGCCAAAAATATTTAACCTAAATATAAAAATCAAGCTTTGGCATTACTTCCAGTTTAAAAGAGGATAAAGGTAAAAGTTAAATGATGCTTGAAGTTCGGACAAATCCAGACAGTGAGATATTCTACCAAACAACCGACCTAGACTCTTCACCAAATCAATATCAGAAAAAAATTTAAAGATGAGAAAATAGTTTCAGATTAAAAGAGACTAAAGAGACATAATACCAAATGTAACATATAAAACTTAATTAGATCCTGAAGTTTTAAAAAGATACACTCAAATAGGTATATGGATACATATGGATAAACAGAATGGAGTCAAATAAGTCACTTGCAGCAAAATAAGATTTAGCTAAACTATTAACACATATCAGGTAGAAAACATCAGATACTCCAGCTGCATTTATTTCTGCAAATAAGTCACCTCCAAGTTAACCTGCCCTGCCTTTTTGGTCCCTCCTCCCCATCACAGGGATGTGCTGCCCAAAATTAATCTGTTCTGTTATTATTTGAAAATCCTGCCAGCAGGCTCTAATCTTATAGATATCTCCAGGACGAGGCTCGCTCACTCTCTCTCTCCACTCAGACATAACAGAGCTCTTTTTAAAAATTCTCTTCACCAAGAAACTCCCCTCAATTATACTTGAGTAAGTAAAAAATCACTGAGCTACCTGCACCAATGGTTCTGGTGTGGTAATATTTTGACATGTGATACTAACCTAGCAGCAGGCCAGTTCAGATGATATTACACTTACACAAACCCTCCACACACACAGGCATTACTTACTTTGCAAGCTACTGAGTTAATTGTGCAGAGGCTATTTTTTACTTTGCAGGATTCCATGGAAATTTACAAATGAAACATAGGTTCTGGTGTATAAGTTTCAGTTAATAAAAGTCTTTACAAAGTAAGCATTTCCTATACAAAGTAAGCATTTCCTATATTTCTCTCCAAATACACAGAAAGACAGACAGACATTTTCGGGATAATGAGAAAAATATGGATATGAACTAAATATTTGATGATAATATAGAACTATCATTAATTTTAACAGATGAGATTATTGTATTGTGATTACGTAGGAGAATATCCTTATTCTCAGAGGATGCATGCTGAAATATTTAGGGATGATATCACAGTGTTTCAATTTACTTTCAAATGGTTTAGAAAAAAAAAATACAGGACAGGCAAGGTGGCTCATGCCTGAAATCCCAGCACTTTGGGAAGCTGAGGAGGGAGGATCGCCTGAGGTCAGGAGTTTGAGACCAGCCTGACCAATATAGTGAAACCCCATCTCTACCAAAAATACAATAACTAGCTAGGTGTGGTGGCATGCGCCTATAGTCCCAGGTACTCAGGAGGCTAAGACAGGAGAATTGCTTGAACCCTGGAGGTGGAGGTGGCAGTGACCCAAGATCACACTACTGCACTCCAGCCTGGGCGATCACAAACTCTGTCTCAAACAAAAACAAAACAAAAAACATAAAGTTATAAAGCAAGAAAGAAGATATTGAATGGTTTCTAAAACAAAGAAATGATAAATGTTTAAGACAATGAATATGCTAATGATCCTGATCTGATCCCTATACATGGTATGTATTGAAACATCACTATGTACCTTATAAATATGTACGATTATTACATGTGTTTTTTTTTTTTTTTGAGATGGAATTTTGCTCCTGTCGCCCAGGATGTAGTGCAATGGCATGATCTCAGCTCACTGCAAACTCCACCTCCCAGGTCCAAGCAATTCTCCTGCCTCAGCCTCCCGAGTAGCTGGGATTACAGACATGAGCCACCACATCCGGCTTATTTTTTGTAACTTTAGTAGAGTCAGAGATTCGCCATGTTGGCCAGGCTGGTCTTCAACTCCTGACCTCAAATGATCCACGTGCCTTGGCCTCCCAAAGTCCTGGGATTACCGGTGTGAGCCACCGTGCCCGGCAGTACATGTTATATTAAAAAAAAAAAATTAGAAATTAAGAGCTAAAAAAGGATATAAAGCAAATAATGCACAATTTTGACAGTTGAGTCTAGGTGGATGGTATGTGGTTACTGCCTTATTCTTTCAGTTTTTCTGTGGGTTTGAAATCTCTGGAAGAGGTGATTGTCAAAAAAGGATTTTTTTTTTTTTTTTTTTTTTTGAGACGGAGTTTCACTCTTGTTACCCAGACTGGAGTGCAATGGCGCGATCTCGGCTCACCGCAACCTCCGCCTCCTGGGTTCAGGCAATTCTCCTGCCTCAGCCTCCTGAGTAGCTGGGATTACAGGCACGCGCCACCATGCCCAGCTAATTTTTTGTAGTTTTAGTAGAGATGGGGTTTCACCGTGTTGACCAGGATGGTCTCGATCTCTTGACCTCGTGATCCACCCGCCTCGGCCTCCCAAAGTGCTAGGATTACAGGCGTGAGCCACCACGCCCGGCCCAAAAAAGGATTTATTAGGGAGTAGAGGAGAATAAGGAGACTAGTTTCTCATAGAGCAAAACAGTTTTTGTTTTTTTTTTTTTTGCACAAGAAACACAGTAATTCACTGTACAATATTTACTATTGTTCAACGTTAACCTTTTCCCACTCACGGACAATTCACAGATTTCTACCTTATCAGAGGTGATCAAAGATCGTGGTTCAAAGCTTGATGCACCAGAAATGTGGGCTAAGGCTGCAGCCAGTGCATCCACTGCCCCTTTCTCTTCTATCAGTCTCTGAGCTGATGGTCGGAAAAAATCAACAGCAGCATAAGAAACGGAAGCCAGAGACCTATGGTTTAAAAACAGCATTCTTGGTCAAGATGCAGGGAAAAAATAAAAGAAGATAAATGGGAAAAAGAAAGAGTAACTTTTTCTTTTCTTTTCTTCTCTTTTTTGAGACAGAGCCTTGCTCTGTCACCCAGTCTGGAGTGCACTGGCACAATCTTGGCTCACTGCAGCCTCAACCTCCCAGGCTCAGGCGATCCTCCCGCCTCAGCCTTCCAAGTAGCTGGAACTACAGGTGCATGCACCACCAGGCCTGGTTAATCTTTGTATTTTTTGTATAAACAAGGTTTCACCATGTTAGCCAAGCTAGTCTCAAACTCCTAAGCCCAAGCAATCTGCCCACCTCAGCCTTCCAACGTGCTGGAATTACAGGCATGCGCCACAGTGCCCAGCTAAAACATTTTTATATTTTAATGTAACTAAATGTCTGCTGGTAAAACTGGTGATTAAAATTTTCTGCTATTTGAACTAGGAGAGCTTATAGATGAATAGCCTAATACAAAAGAAACAATTATTCAGCAAGTTCAGAAAGCATACCTGATGGCATCCATGCTTTTAGATTTAACTAAATCCATTGTAGAAGGAACACCTACACGTTTAAAAGTAATTCCCTGAAAATGAAAGAGTTACATTAAAGAAAAATGGAAGTCTTTAAAATTAATTCCTAAATTAATATATTAATAGTCTGTTGAATTTCTATTTCTTGGACTTAAAGATTTCATAGCCCTAGCAGATTAAAAGATCTGTTTTATCCTTTTTTTTTACTTTTTTTTTTTTTTTTTTTGAGACGGAGTTTCGCTCTTGTTACCCAGTCTAGAGTGCAATGGCACGATCTCGGCTCACCGCAACCTCCGCCTCCCGGGTTCAGGCAATTCTCCTGCCCCAGCCTCCTGAGTAGCTGGGATTACAGGCACGCGCCACCATGCCCAGCTAATTTTTTGTATTTTTAGTAGAGACGGGGTTTCACCATGCTGACCGGGATGGTCTCGATCTCTTGACCTCGTGATCCACCCGCCTGGGCCTCCCACAGTGCTGGGATTACAGGCTTGAGCCACCGCGCCCGGCCAAGATCTGTTTTTTTCTAATAAATCATCAATTACAAATTTCAGAAAAATAATTTTTTGAAATGCCCCTTAGTTGCAATCATGGAATTTCACTTGCAAAACAAGTCTGATTTAAAAAAAAAAAAAAAAAAGATGTTTAAATCAGCTTTTTTCCTCCTTATTACACTATCTCATTTTACAAAGTATATGAAATAGCATATAAAAACACATATAAAAATAGGAAAAATGTGAAATACCACAAAAAAATCCGGACCACAGAAAATGTACAGTTTCTTTAGCAACTGTCCATTGTATCATTACTTAAGAGAATGTTAACTATTATACCAAGACAATCTTATAGCCACCCATTTACAATGCTGGACTGGGAAGTACCTAAATCACAATGCACTTCTGATTTTAGTATGAAGAGAGAAATTCAAGGAAAAGATGAGAAAGTCAGCTCCACTGTCTTCACAATAAAAGCTGTACTGAAGTCTTGAAGCTAATATAAATTTAGATCTCCACAGGCTTCACATCCAAATGCAGCTTAAACTGAGAAATGTAATAAAGACCTACTTGTGAGAATAAATATAAAAAGAGCTCTCTTCTAAGGCACCATTTAGACAATAAGCCTGAAATAATTTAACTCTACTTACTGCTTTTTGCTCCACATATCTTAGTTGACCTCTTTCTCTTGGTTGATAAAAACATATACAAATCCCTGTCCGTCCAGCTCTACCTGTGCGTCCAGAGCGATGGATATAGGACTCAACATCCTAAAGATTGTAAGAGGTAATACTTTTTAAAAATCTGGCAAGTTCCAGTCATTCCAGAATCCAAATAATAATGTTAATAATAATAATAATATATTTATTTCAATCCTATTGCTCTTTTCAACATCCCAAACAATTTATATCTGTGGATTTTGAGGTAAAGGCAGTAAGATTTAAAACCTTTTAATCTACTTCATCTTTTTTAAAAAATAAAAATCAGTTCCCTATGAGAAGGAAATTTTAAAAATCATCATCATCATCATCTACTTCATCCCAGGTTTCGTTAAATGGCAACTTTTTATAATTCTCTGCCTGATTTTGTTGCTTCATGCTTCAAATCCAAACAATAAAATTAATCATCTGCAAAGGTATCAGAATATGATCAATTTAATACCATGCTAACAAAAAATGGCTAAGAGCAAGAAGAGATGACATATGTTTCACATCCTAAGCAATAAATTATAAATTAAATGGGAATTTATAAAATTGCTCTTATCTTCCCCAAATCAAATCCCATTTCCTACCTGAGGAGGAGAACTTTGAATAACCAGGTCAACTTCAGGAATGTCCAAACCACGGGCAGCCACATTGGTTGCCACCAAAACTTTAAAACTACCTTCTCTGAAGCCTTTTAGTGTAATTTCTCTTTGTGACTGTGCAATGTCCCCATGTAAACACTGGGCATTCTATTTGAGAAAGAGGGAGAAAATTAAGTGTACAGTTCATACTTGCAACTGATAGCACCGCAATACCATCTAGTCTGTGCTCCTTTTGCATGTTTTTTAATCTTACTTTCTGAAAATATTTAACATAAAATATAAAAGCTTCCCTAATACTAGCCACTTAGAAATAATTCAATGCTAAGAGTATGATAATATTGTCAGAATTTTTTTTTTTTTTTTTTTTTTGAGATGGAGTTTCACTCTTGTTGCCCAGGCTAGAGTGCAATGGCTTGATCTTGGCGCACCACAACCTCTGCCTCCTGGGTTCAAGCAATTCTCCTGCCTCAGCCTCCCAAGTATCTGGGATTACAGGCATGTGCCTACCACGCCCAGCTAATTTTGTATTTTTAGTAGAGATGGGGTTTCTCCATGTTGGTCAGGCTAGTCTCAAACTCCTGACCTCAGGTGATCTGCCCACCTTGGCCTCCCAAAGTGCCAGGATTACAGTCATGAGCCACCACACCGAGCCCAGGCATTTTTTTGGTTTTGTTTTTTTGAGGCAGAGTTTCATTCTTATTGCCCGGGCTGGAGTGCAATGGCGCAATCTCAGCTCACTACACTTTCCACCTCTCAGGTTCAAGCAATTCTTCTGCCTCAGCCTCCCGAGTAGCTGGGATTACATGCGTCCACCACCATGCCCAGCTAATTTTTGTATTTTTAGTAGAAACAGGGTTTCGCCATGTTGACCAGGCTTGTCTTGAACTCCGGACCTCAGGTGAGCCCTGGCCTTAACCTCCCTAAGTGCCGGGATTACAGGTGTGCACCACCACATCTGGTCACGTTTTTTTTAAATACACACATACACACACACTCACACTACTCACATTACACTCGCATATATAATGACTTTATGTATTTATTTATAAAATGGGATCAAATTATGTAGGTAGGGTTTTGTAATCTACTTTATAAATTTCCTGTATCTTAGGTATTCATGTTTATAGGTAAAATGCTACTTAATTTTTTAAAACTGTATATAGTTTATTCATATGGACGCAGCAGCATCTATTTTAGCGAAATCCTACTGATGAACAATTAGGCTGTATTCAAATTTTCACCTTTAGAAACAATGCTGCAGTGAACAACTTTGTACTTATATCTCTGTATGCCTCAGTATCTCTGTGTTTCAGTAGGATACATATCTAGAAGTTGAATTCTGGGTCAAAATTATGAACACACAGCACTTTAATAGAAACTGTATTATTTAAAAAGTTGTGTACCTTTTATTCTTCAATACTCTATGAGTATTTATTTCATGAAGCCCCACCCACCTTGTACATTATAAATCATTGTAATCTCTGTGAATTTAATAGGCAAAAATAATTTCCCAATGATGTTTTAATTTACACGTCTGTAATTTTTGGTGACGTTGAACCTATTTATATTGGGTTCATCTTCATCTAGGTTGCAAATTTCCTAGTGTACTATAAATACACTTCCTAGTATTCTTGATCACTATATTAAAGTCAAAAAGTTCATTAACAATGATCAGGCCGGGCGTAGTAGCTCATGCCTGTAATCCCAGAATTTTGGGAGGTTGAGGTGGGTGGATCACTTGGAAGTCAGGAGTTAAAGACCAGGATGGCCAACATGGTGAAACCTTATCTCTACTAAAAATGCAAAGATTAGCCAGGTGTGGTGGTGCATGCCTGTAATCCCAGTTACTCGAAAGGCTGAGGCAGGAGAATCACTTGAACCTGGGGGAAGAAGGTTGCAGTGAGCTGAAATCACTCCACTGTACTCCAGCCTGGACAGCAGAGCAAGACTCTATCTCAAAAAAAAAAAAAAAAAGTTTTTAACAATAATTTAACACCAACAGTATCTCAGCCTTGGTATCTAAATAGCTTAATGCATACATGAATGAATTCAGTGAGCACCTGCTATCTGTCTGGATTATACCTGGTTCTAGAACATTAATAAAGAAATGGCGGGCCGGGCACGGTGGCTCAAGCCTGTAATCCCAGCACTTTGGGAGGCCGAGGCGGGTGGATCACGAGGTCAAGAGATCGAGACCATCCTGGTCAACACGGTGAAACCCCGTCTCTACTAAAACTACAAAAAATTAGCTGGGCATGGTGGCGCGTGCCTGTAATCCCAGCTACTCAGGAGGCTGAGGCAGGAGAATTGCCTGAACCCAGGAGGCGGAGGTTGCGGTGAGCCGAGATGGCGCCATTGCACTCCAGCCTGGGTAACATGAGTGAAACTCCCTCCGTCTCAAAAAAAAAAAAAAAAAGAAATGGCTCTGGGGCAACCAGCTGACAGGCCTCTTCAATTGAGTATGATGTGTGCTATCACAGGTATAGGTTCAGAGTGCGACAGGAATATTTAAGAGGGAAATCCAACTCAATCTTGTTCAAGAGGAAGGCAGCACTAAAGCTGAGACCTGACATCATAAGGAACTAGTAGGTAAAAAAAGGAGCAGAGGGCTAGGGAGTTCGTGGTAGAAGAAATCTCATACATAAAGAGTGGGGAGTGGAACCTACAAATATTTGAGCATTGCTGAAACACAGTGAAAAGGGAGTGGGGAGGTGAGAGGATAGGGAGTGATAGATGAGACTGGAATAGAATATGAACTTTATCCTGAGGATAATATGAAACAATTGAATGATTATAAGCAGAAAAATATGAACATATTTAAATTATACAGCCAGGCACAGTGGCTCACTCCTGTAATCCTAGAACTTTGGGAGGGCGAAACAGGTGATCACCTGAGGTCAAGAGTTCAAGACCAGCCTGGCCAACATGGTGAAACTCCAACTCTACTAAAAATACAAAAAAAGTAGCCAGGCGTGGTGATGGGCACCTGTAATCCCAGCTACTTGGGAGGCTGAGGCAGGAGAATCGCTAGAACCCACGAGGCAGAGGTTGCAGTAAGCTGAGATCGCACCACTGCACTCCAGCCTGGGCGACAAAGTGAAGCTCCATCTCAAAAAAGTATATTAAAATATACATATATATATATTATATATATATATATACACACACACACACACACACACATATATATATATACATTTTATATATTTTGTATATGTTCTGTCACCAACCCACTAGCCTGGTGACAGAGCAAGACCTGTTTCTAAAAAAAGAAATAAGAGGTATCAGTGGCCTCACTAAGATAGTGGCAAGGACCATCTATTTGCTCCACAAATATATAATGACCCACAACAAGTTGGGCACTAGGCATAAAAAGGTGAACAAAAATAAGACTGCTTCTGTCCTCACAGTCTTTATATACTGGTCAGAAAGATGGACATTATTCAAATACTTAGGCATGCAAATAAATTTAGACAATGAATGTAATAGATGATGAATGAGTTTAACAGGCAATGAGCCTTATAAGAGGACAACTTGACCTAGCCTGGGGCAAGAAAGGATTCTCTAAAAAGTGATGTTTTGGACTGAGATCTGAAGGATGAGTAGGAGTTGCTAGGCAAGGTAGACTACAAATTCAAGAGCTGACCAGCATGGTGGCTCATGCCTGTAATCCCAGCACTTTGTGAGGCCAAGGCAGAAAGATTGCTGGAGCCCAGGAGTTCAAGACCAGCTTGGGTTACGCAAGGATATCCCATCTCTATAAAGAATAAAAAATTAGCCAGGCATAGGGGTACACACTTGTCATCCCAGCTACTTGGGAGGCTGAGATGGGAGGATAATTTGGGCCCAAGCAGTTGAGGCTGCAATAAGCCATCGTGCCACTGTACTCCAGCCTGGGAGACAGAGTGAGACTTTGTTTCCCCCGTTTACCACATCCCCCCGCCAAAAAAAACCCATGGCATGTATGGAGCATGTGCAAAAAAGGAAAAAAATGAGAGGGAAGTATGATAAGATGAGGCTGGAAAGGTAAGTAGGGGCTAGACCATAAACGAATTCAATAACTATTAGCTGATGAAATTGCAAGGACATAGTCAAGAGAGTAGAAATGATGTATAAAAGAGATACATTATACATGATTCTCAGATTTTTAGCTTCTGCGACTGTAAAAAGAAATAAAGGGTGTAAGAAATAAATGGAGGCTAAGCACACTGGCTCATGCCTGTAATCCCAACATTTTGGGAGGCCAAGGCAGGTGAATCACCTGAGGTTAGGAGTTTGAGACCAGCCTGGCCAACATGGTGAAACCCTGTCTCTGCTAAAAATACAAAAAATAGCTGGGCATGGTGGCAGGCACCTGTAATTCCAGCTACTTGGTAGGCTGAGGCAGGAGAATCACTTGAACCCAGCGGGGCAGAGATTGCAGTGAGCCGAGATCGCACCACTGCACTCCAGCCTGGGTGACACAATGAGACTCCGTCTCAAAAAAAAGAAAAGAAAAAAGAAATAAATGAGCCACTTTAAACCATAGGAGATAGGATCCAAAAATACTATGTAGTTGACTGGATGGCCAAGGGTGAGGAATAAATTCAAGAGTGATACATAAATTTCTGGTTTAAACAATGGGTAGATGTATTATTTAGCCCTGGGGAATGCTGGAGACAGAGTAGGTATAAGAGTGGAGAAAGTAATTTAGGTTTAGAATGGGTTGGTGTGTCTGCAGCCAGTACGTCTAGTATTCTTGAGGCAGATCCCAGTGAGATAAAGATTTGGGTATCATTGGCATATACTAGATGACTAGAGCCATAGGAGTTTATTAGATCTATTTATACATATCTATACTTCTATATTCCTATACTAATTGACCGCTTGCTTCAAGAAAAGAAAAGCGCTATGCAAAATGCTTTAAATAAACAATTTTTGAGACAGAGTCTCGCTCCATAGCCCAGGCTGGAGTGCAGTGGCGTGATCTCTGCTCACTGCAACCTCTGCCTCCCGGGTCCCCATTCAAGCAATTCTCCTGCCTCAGCCTCCCGAGTAGCTGGGATCACAGGTGCACGCCACCATGCCCAGCTAATTTTTGTATTTTTAGTAGAGATAGGGTTTCACTATGTTGGCCAGGCTGCTCTTGAATTCCTGACCTCGTGATC